TGCGTGACAAAGTCGGCGAAAAGGAAGATCATCGAGAGAGTGAGAGAGCGATAGAAAAAAAAAAGAAAGAAAACCAATGTGACTCCACTCTTCGTAAAGAGCATCAAAGCTTAGTAATCATTCTTTCTTTTTCTTGGCTTTAGATCTTTTTCTCAGATCGAATACAGTTGAAGGATTAAAACATGCTAACAAACATACTAATCAAAACAACATGAAAAGAAAATAACACAAAAATTTTTTACCGTTTGAATATTATTATGAATAAGTTAAGGACGATAATATTCAATATGAAGAGTTGAAAACAATAGAAAATAGCAATTATCAGAAGTATTTATATACAACATTGTCATTATACCATTGAGCTAAGTATGCATTTCTTAATAGCGTGTATTGCTGACAATTCAGCCACGTATAGAAATATTCATCTTATAACTTGGCTCTCTGATTCATCTATGACTAATTAAATATCTAGTTTTGATGTTTCATGCAAGAAAATTATCTTTTATCAGCAGATATTCAAAAACTACCATTGAAAGACAAGTTTATTTGGTTTGTTAATATTTGAATAATACGAAAACATTTTTTATCATATTGAATGAATTGAACAAATATCCTGAAAAATTTCATTATGAAACCTATAAATGGAGAAATAGAAAGCTCTTAATTGCTTTTCACTGTTATGACCTAGAAATTATTCATATGATCGATTCCGTAGGCAAGGTTTTTTTCATATAGAAAAAAAGAGACATTTATTAGTAAGCTAAATGATCGATTTACTGCGCTTTTTTTTAAGATTACACTTCCTGCCACTTCGTCGTTTTGCCGGAAGCTTGTTTTACCATTTAGCTATCCTTATTTTACATAATTTGCCCTTAACGAACCGTTTCTTTTTACTAAGTTATTCGAGAAAAAAGGATAAATCTTTCATGAAGATGATTTCAAAAGAAAAAAAAAATCTTAACATGTCAATTATTGTTATAAATTATTAAGGCATTCATTATTCAAAAAAGCTTTTCTTTTGTTATCGAACCAGATACAGACATTACTGTCCTACATAACAAAATAAGATTATTCTAGAGATGAAAAAAAATCAATAGCGTAGCCAAGATTTTGGGCTTATGAGGGGAAGGGATAACGGCTCAGCCGTCCGCTACGAACCTTTGAGCTTGTGGCTCTGCCAGGGAGAAAAATATTGAACTTCATACGGACTCTGTGTTAAAATAATTATATCAAATATTCTTTTTTTCTTTATTCTGATTTCTCAAACAACAACTTGCTAAAAAACCAATAGAAAATTTTCATTGGATAAATCTTATTAAAACTTATCGCATGACTAGTAATCCTTATCCAAACATCTAGAAGGATATACTATCGAAAAATGCAAAAAATATGACTAAATCTTACATAGTATAGTTCATACAGTCTGAAAAAAAAGCAAGAATAATATGAAATGATCGCTTATTGCATTAGAAAATGTTCGATCAAGGATAGAATTTAAATTTAATTTTCCACTAATATATAAAAAATCGATTAATTCAATTAACATTAAATGGATAACTATGATTAAAGAGAAAAAAAAATCTTTCTTTTTCGATATTTATATCTAATCATCACCGGTCAATATTTGAAGGATTCTTCTGATACTTATTTAGCATTTTGTAGACTTCCGAATATACAATGTGTATTTTTTTTTCACGAGTAACAAAAATTAAATTAACACGCTTGTCAATGTCATTTGTTTGCTATCAATCGATCTACGCACAGTTCTTAAACATAAGAAAATATTAATTTCATTTTGATAGTCAAAATTTTACACATGGCGATTTGTTTTATGTTGATTCAAAAGAAAATTGATTTATATACCTAATATACGATATGTCATATTGACTGAAATCTATTTTGAGTAATAGAATAAATAATTATTCTTGAAAGTTTTGCATCATTGGTGAAGAAAAAAGAAATGAATATTTTGATAGACAAAAGAAAAAAAAAGTTGAATTCTATTAAGAAAAGAAAAAACATAGTGAGTTATTTCCGTCTTTAGACTTTTGACTTTTAATGAGAAAAAGATAAAGTTGATTCAATATTTTTAGAAAACTAATTTTAAAAATTTCTGAAAGAACTTTTCCATTGCATATCAATTAAGGTTTCTTGACATTTTTTTTTGTCCTCAAACATTAAATCATACTATAATTCTGTTATATTTCTATATAGAAAGCACTCGTTATTCTATAAATATCTCATTGTTGAAACAGCTTATTGAATTTCATGATTATTTTATATTCATATTGTATTTAAATAGTTTAGTTTTCAATTTTAGTATTTACCAGTAATACATAAGCATTTATGAGGGAACCTTTCGTGGTATCGGAATCTCTTTACGACTAAGACGATGTTTATTTGATGAGTAATAGAAAAGTCTACAATGGTTTAGTTTTTTGGGCTTTCGTTCTCGAAATATCGAGATTTTACTAGGTTTTTACTCATTGTTCAATGAATTAATCCCATTAAGAACTTTTTTTATGCAAAATTTGCAGTCGAAACTCGAAGGTCGATATTTCAACTGGTCTGAGAGGAACGAAAAACTCAGTAAAATTTCGATATCTCAAAAATGAAGGTCTGAAAAACTAATGTTTTCTAGACTATTCAATTACTTATCAAATGAACATTGTCTTGGCCGAAAAGCAATTTGACACCTGTAAATGTTTCCAGGTTAGTTTATTATTATGATTTTAATATTGTTTATTTAATAGGTAATTTATTTTCTTAATTTTTGTGAGTTTTTAATTTTGTTTTATTTATATCAGAACTTTTAAGAAAAGTATTTCCTCGATTAGATATATATTTATTAATTGTTCAATTTCATTTTCAGGTTTTTTAAGTGTCAAGATTGTATTGATTATCAATGATTTATTATGTCCTCCCCAAATCGGCTTTGTGTCAGAAACATTAGTTCTGTGTTCATGAAATATCAATTAAATAGAAGTCAAGCATAGCTAATTTCGCAATCTGAAATGCGTAGTAGACCTTTATATTACATGTTCTTTTTTTTTTGAAATTATTACTTTTGGTTGGAGGCTAAGAGTGACAAACTCAGCAGTGCAAAGCTCTCTCATAAAATGATGAAAAAGAATAGCAATTTTGTTTAGATTGTTTGTGGCACTGAAGTTGTCATTCTTAGTCTCCGATAAAAAGTAATCATTTTGAAAGAAAAAGAAGTCTGTCGGACTCTGGAGTGTGACATCCCTTTTCAAACAAAAGAAACATAGAATATAATTAATGAAGCTCTACAGAGAATTTCGGGTTGGCAAATTAGTTATTTTTCATTTCTCATTGATGAATATGTGGTAAAAGCATCATGATAATGAACTGAAAATCTCATGTGATTTGAATTCTTCAGATCTGAAGTCAATTTTGAGGAAGACTTAAATAAAGAAGGATATGAAGTTTTTTTCATACATTAAATACAATTTTTTATGAAATGATTAGATAACATTGATAAAAGATAATTATTAGAAACGAATTTTTCCACTGGCTTCATTCATTCTAAAAGAATCATTCGAACCTGATTACTCTCTCAGATTTCGATGACCACACTAGTATGATACAACTACATATATTCATTCTGTGTTAAATTATATTTAAAATTTTTGAGTTTTAAATAGAATAGAAGACATTCACTAAATGTTTTGATACCATACCTCGATTTTCTGAAATATTTTTCACAAAATAATAATTATTAGTAAAACATATTGACGGCAATATTTATTAATAATTTGAAGAAAATATTTTCAAAACAGTTTATTATTCTCAAATAAAATACAAATATATTTCAGAAAACAAAATCGCTCTTGAATTTGTTTTTTTTTTCTACAAAAAAAAACAAACAAATATCATACTCAAGCTTATACAATGCAATAAAAGATAATAAAAAATATAAAAGAAACAGATCTGTTCGTGATGTATTCAATTATTCATGAAACATGATCCTAAACTATGTGACTATCATATTTATATACAAATGATTAAATTATATTAGAAAGAATATTATTGTCATTAATTTCCCTAGAGAGTTTCAAATATTTTTTTTTTTCTTTTATAATATCTTAAATTTTCCTACAATAATCTATGCTTAAATCTAATGTAATCGAAAAAATAACACGTCTCATTTCTGTTTGTATGTTTAAGGAAAAAACCTAAATTACAACAACTAAATACCCACCAATTCGTTTAGTTGAACGATTCTCGTAGCATTATCTCAATCTAAAATACATCATATGTAATCCTCATATAAAAAACACAAACGCTCAATTTTATCAATTTGTAAAAAAAAAAAAGAAGAAGCCATAAATTTTATTTAGTATCTTTTTCTCAGCATTAAGTGTCTGTTTTTTCTTTCTCTAAATATTTTATATATGTTGTCATTGTACAAAGTGTATTTGTGCGCATATAATATAAATGAGTCAATATTTGGTGTAGTCAATATCACTAGCAAGCACAAAAGACAAAGAAGAGAGAGAGAAAAAAAAAAGAAGAATGCGCTGCTAGAAAAACAAAACAAAACAAAAGAAAGAAAACAAACCGGAAGAGAAAAAAAGGAAAACCGACAAATGCATTTGGTGAGAATTCATATGATGTTAGATTTTATACAAAAATATGTGTAAATGTACTTTTATCCTCGAGCGAGACTATTCAGCATGAGGAGTATTCTACTGTTCTCGCGATTCATTCGCACGCGATTCTTTGTTGATGAAAAAAAAAGAGAAATGAGCTAAGCATGTTTTTACGTTGAATAGATACAAATAAAAAGGGAAAACGAAGCACAAGCTCGAATTGAGTGACAGAGAGAGAAAGAAAAAAAGATACACACACACAAACAAACGTTAATTATAGAAAAAAATTAATGTTGTATATATGCCAAGTATATGCAAAAAAAAACAAAGTGACGGAGAGATAGATATTTTTATCAGTAAATATAAAAATAAGAACGAATTTATTCATCAGATCTTGGGTAATTTTGGGGCAGTTATCAATGGATTATTACGTTCAATCAAGCGTTTTCCTTCAGCTTTATAATCAAATGCACATGCATGTGCTTCAGGATATCGATGCTCACTACAAAATGAACTTCCACATCTAAAATGAAAATTAGTTTAAGTTTAAAAAAAAAAACAAATAATCAGTTATTTTTCGATTATACCTGCATTGATATGTTGTAGCTAATCCAGTTTTCTTTTTACAAAGAAAACATTTTGATGTTGGTTTACGATTGACAATAACTGGTGGTAATTTATTTGCATTGTAAATTGTTGTTGTATTAGATTGAAGATTATTGTTTGTTATTAATAGATTATTATTTGTTGTATTGGACCATGGATTACTTAATTTTGAATCCAACTATTTAGATACAAAAAAAAAAAGAAAAAGAAAAAAGTGAACAGTATGTTTTATATGATGAAATTGTTAATATTACTTTATAACGTTCTTCAATAACTGCATCACGAGATGATTGTTTATAGCCTATTGATATGAACAAAAAAATTATTTTAACGAAAGAAAAATGAAAAAATAAAATTTTACCAGTTTTAATTGATGCTGTTTCTTTTGATGCAGTTGTTAGAAGTGAAACAAGATGTTTACCAACACCTCTTGATGTATCAACTGGTTCAATTGTTGCATTTTGTCGTAGAAGTGCTGAGACAGTTTTAGGACCAATTGTTTCTAGAAAGAAATATATAATAATTTTGTTAAACTTTTCATATAGTAAATCTTATTCTAATAGTAACTGTTCTATGAAATAGAACTCATCTGAAAAACGATTTATCACTTTTCAATATATCTATTCTACTTGCCTATAGTTACTTTTGTACTATCTATTGGTATAACAGATGATGATGATGATGGCGGTACAGTCGTTGTTGTACTAATAGGTTTAATATCTTTTTGTTGAAAATTTCGTTTTGATGGAGGTGCTGGTGGTGCTGGCGGAAAAATTGTATTTGATGATGATGATGGAGATGGAGCAGTTGATTGTGGTGATTGTTGTTTACCAGGTGTTTTTAATATTTCTATTCGTTTATTGAGCATTAAATGTTCATTAAAAGAATCTGTACTATTATTATTAATTCCACTAGTAATATTTCCATTTTGTATTAAATCATTAGAAGAATTACTAAATGTCTGTTGTTGTGTTGATGTTGTTAAATGTACATTCGTTGGTATACGTCGATATTTTGATACTGATAATGGTACTAAGGATCTAGGTGATTGTTTACTTTGTTGTTGTTCATTATTTATAGATTTATGATGATGATAAAATTGTTGTGTTGTTGATGGTAATGAAGATTTTTTATTAACATGAGGTAATGTTGGTATTGGTGTAAGAGCTGTTGTACTTGTTGAACTATTTTGATGACGAAATAATAATGATTGACTTGTTGATGTACGTTCACCAGGTGTATTATATTCATCGGATACATTTATTTGTTCATCATCATCTGTCCATATTGGTTTACTTAATGATGTATCATTTCGACTTTGTATATCAGCTGTTTGTTTACGATTTATATTTGTTGGTGAAATAATTTCATCATCATTTAATTCAAGCATTGGTGATGTACGTGAATTTTGATATAGAATATCATTTGTTGTATGTATTTTATCATTTGTATTTATTGGTTCATCAGATGTAGTATGATGTTTTGTTGCGGATAATACACGTGATGATGTTGATACAATAGGTAATGTTGGTGACATACGATGAATATAATCAACTAAAACAGCATTACTACTTGTATCATTAGCTGATGTTGTTGTTGTAGTTGTTGTTGCTGTTTCTTGACTAAGTAATTTTTTTGTTGTATTATGTTGATGATGATTACGTTTTTTACCATAAAAAACAGATGGTGAAAATGATCTTGATGTAAAAATTGGTTGTTGTAATGGTGTTTTTGGTTCATCATCGTCATCATCGTGACTATCATCATCATCTTCACTATCTTCTTCATGTAAAAGATCATTTCGATTGAGATTTGCTGTTGTTGATGATAATAAATTATATGTATTAAAAAAATTAGCAGGAAATGAATATGATAATGATCGATGTTGCTGTTCTAATGATGATGTACCTGAGGAATTATCACCATTAACACTTAAATTCGAATTTGTTTCAACATGTATACTACGACGAGGATGATGATGATGATGATGATGAATTAAATTTGTTTTAGTTTTCTTTGATGAAGATGGTGGTCGAGGTGGAAGAAGAATATCCTTTGAAAGAAAAATTATTTAATTAACTTCAAAATATATAAGAAAATTCAAGGAATTAAGATAGATTTTGTTTTTTTTTTAATTTTATAGCATGTTATATAGAATTTTTATTTCATGGAATTTAGTTTACAGCGAATATTCAAAAAGATAATCATTATATGAAATAGCAAAAAATCCGTTCTATTCGAAATATTTGCAAGCAATTGTATTTTCGAAATAATCTATTTCTATTAATTGTTTTCATTTTGATTTCAATCTGATCTTCATATATATCTTGTAAGCATTGGTTTCTACTTTGTATTCAATACAAAGCAGTTTTGTCCGACAAAAGAGTCCATACACAAAGCCTTTTGATTGTTGGTCTTCTCGAAGTTTTTTATCAAAGATTTATAATTTCAACTTGTTGTTCTCGTGAATCTTCTTCGAATAGTTACTGGACAAATTAGATTCTGTATACCTTTATGAAAAGATATTTAGTTATAATCTAGTGTGTTAATGTTCATGAAATAATACAGCCTGTTTCAACAACTCAAACACTCGATACTGACTTCGTTTAGAAAAAATAATAAATTTTGTTGATTTTTTTCTTCTGTTATTTTTCAAGGCCTTCCAAACATTTTTTTCGATTTGCTGCTGTAATAATCTCACAAGTGTTTAAAAGTATCTTTACTATAGTCTACGCTTGACATTTTAATATTACATTTGACTTGAATTTTTCGTTTCATAACGATAAATAACCTAAATTTGGTAATGAATAAAACTATTTGTATTCTAATGTTTTGTAAGCATAGACATTTATTAGAAATTATATATAACAATACTCCAAGGAATATTCTATTATAATATTAAAAATTGACTAGTATAAATTGGTTAAATAGATTAGAAGATATTTAAGTTTTCTTTTTGTGTTAAAGTGAATTATGACACACTTTATATTTTATAAAACTTAGGATTTGTTATGTTGTTTTTAAGGATGTCCGTTCAAAAGACTCAGGAGTATTCAATTCGCATGAGACTTTCAGCTTGGTAACATGATTTCTCCATTAGATATTCATAAAACAAGAGTAAAAAACTGCTAATTTTGTCAATCAGATATACTCTGTTGACCTTCATTCATTATATTTTATCATGTTTTTGCTTGAAAGAGCTTTGAAGATTTTAAGGCTTCACAGAGACCTTCCTTGTTTCAATTTTTTTTTTATTAGTGGCTAAGGGCAACAAGTGCAATATCAGAATCATCTTTCAAAAATGGTTATAAAAATGCCAATTTTTTGTCGTATTAGGCTTGTCACTCTTAACCTCCAACAAAAAAAGTAAGAATTTAAAAAGTAAAGGACTGCCATGCCCTACAGTCTGATATGCTCTTTCAAATAAAAGAAAAATAATATATATATATATATATATATCTTGAGAGTGTGAGAGCCTACAGATAATTTCCAGTTGATAAAATAGCTACTTTTGACCTTTTCTTGTTGAATACTTCCTGAAAACATCATGATATTGGCTTGAAAATTTCACTATAGTTTTTCCGATGCATCCTGAAAACTTCATGCGATTTGAATGTTTATGACCTTAAAATCGACTTTGAGGTTAACATCTTAATTCATATTTCTAAATCCTGTTTTATATATGAAACTTAAAAGTAATATTTCTAATACACACTTTGGTTTGTAGTTTTATATCAACAATCATGTTTTGAAAAATTTTGTATGATATCAATATCAAATTATTAAACATGATTAGAACATTTTTTTTACTTTTCTAGCATGTGTTTTCAATTTTGATCGAATTAATTCCATTTTTTGTTTTGTTTTACGATCATCGGCTTGTCGTTTTTCATCATATTGTCGTTCAGTTTCAACAGCTATTGTTTCATGTGTATTATACATTGATGCAGCACTAAACCAAAACAACAAGAGTAATCAAACCATACTTATAAATAAGATTATTTTTTTTTTTTTTGTTTTCGTTGTTTATTGTAATAAATTACCTCATAGAACCAGATAAAGGTGAGAGAGTACCATCACCTCTATCAATAACTTGAAAAAAATTAAATTGATCACCATCGCGTAAAACAAGAAATGTAACATTTTTATTCGATGATGGTAATAGATCACTTCCAATACCATAATCATCTTGACTACTTTCAATATATTCTGACATATCTCTTATAAAACTATCTTCAATAGGTACACGTTTTGTATTAACAGGTCCACCACGCATAGCTAAAACAAGTTTTATTGTTGTACCAGCTTCAATATTATAATCATTTAAACATGATTCATCATCAAGTTCATTTGATTTCCATATAAGATGTTGATGTAATATAGGTATACCTTCTCGTCTTTCAATTTTACGTTTTATAGATTGTATTTGTTCATATGGTGAAACAAGTAATTCAAATGATGTACCAGCTAATGTTTCAATATTAACTGGTATTAATGTTCGTTGTGTTGGTAATGGTGGTGTCTGAGTTGTTGGTAACATGTTGAATAAATGAATATCTTTAATATTTTGAGAAATTAAATATTAGTTCATACATCGATCATATCATAAAAATGGGAAAATAGTTTAAGATACATATAAAAGAAAAAATGTCTTCATCTAAAAATTTCAAACTTTATAGGGTCATAGATTTAAATGTCGTTACTGTGAATGTTTACATTTTGGGGTTGCTTTTTGTCGTAAAAAAGAAAAAAAAAAAAACGAAGAAAGAAAGAAGAAAAAAATTGTTATGTACAGAAAGCGACTGCCATACATTACTCCGCATGAAACCCTATAAAAAACTGAAGTTTATTTGTAAAAGCAAAAAAGAACAGAAATTTTAATCTAAAATACTTTTTTATAGTAAAAAAAAAAACAAGTTGCTAATATAGAAAATCTTTTTTTTTTGATAGAAACATTCAACTAATCAACATTTTTTGTTTAGAAATTAATCAAGTGACATCTATATGTGCCTCCAAGTCGCGTACGATAATACTCTTTTGATTGCTTATTTCAATTTATGTTGTAAATAAACACATAAGAAGAAGAAGACGATACAAAAAAAGAATTTAGTTTCGAAATTTTAAATGTTCATTCATTGAATACGAATTTCTATTCGATTTTGTATCTTTTTTAGATAACAACTAATTTTATTGACATCATCATCTCAATAAAATGGGTAAGTTAGTTTTATTTAAATGTTGATTATCTAATATATATTTATTTAAAATAGGTAAACCTCGTGGTCTTCGTACAGCTCGTAAATTAAAAGATCATCGACGTGAACAAAGATGGCATGATAAAGATTATAAAAAATCACATTTGGGTACACGATGGAAAAGTAATCCATTTGCTGGTGCTTCACATGCTAAAGGCATTGTTCTTGAAAAAGTGTATGTTTTTATTTTTATTTATCGAAAAAGTAAAAAATAAAATAATTTGTTTTTTTTGCTTAGTGGTGTCGAAGCTAAACAGCCTAATTCGGCTATTCGTAAATGTGTTCGTGTTCAATTAATTAAAAATGGCAAGAAGATCACAGCTTTCGTACCACGCGATGGTTGTCTTAACTATATTGAAGTAAATTAATTTACATTTTTTTTGTTGTTATCTAATATAGATATTTGATTATGTTTTATTTTAATAGGAAAACGATGAAGTATTAATTGCTGGTTTTGGTCGTAAAGGTCACGCCGTTGGTGATATTCCGGGTGTTCGTTTCAAAGTTGTTAAAGTTGCTAATGTTTCATTGTGGGCATTATATCGTGAAAAGAAAGAACGACCTCGTTCATAAACCTCAATCAATTATGACAACAAAGTCAATATGAAATCGTTTTGTTTTGTTGTTAAGATGAAATATATTAAAATAAAAAAAAAAACAAGAAGAACGAACGAAATAAAAAAGAAATAAATTAATATAACATATTTAAGCGAATATACTTAATCAAGTTTGATCAGGGTTGGCAGATCAAAAAGTTTTAAAATTCAGAATTTTATTTTTCAAAATCAAAAATAATTCAGTAATTTTACTAGATCTTACTTTACTTTCATAGGTATCTTATTGTAAAGAAACACAATGCAATAAATCTATTGTTCAATTAATACGAAAGTATAAAAGACAAATAAAAACATCTTTTATGTCCGGTAGAATTGATAGAAGATCAGAATGAAATAAAAATGTACGTTTAAATAAACATTACGTGCATTACATATGGAGACATTCTCATATCATGATCTTATTACTGTGAAATAATTTTATAAATTACTTGATAATCACATGGATACCTATCAATTATGTACAACAACATATATAATATCCTCATGATTTCAAACACTCGATCTTTTGAAAATTTATTCAATTTTTGAAAAGCATATATGAATGTAGAATTAATTACTTCTATTGAAACATGTAATTGTAATAGCATTTGTACTACAAAGAAAATTCGTTATTAGGCAATAAAAAAATATAGCATTGTATCAAAATGTTATTAAACAAAAATGAAATCATGTTCAAATTTCTAGTTAATCTTCATATTTTTGAAATATAAAAATAATAAAGTGTACACTATGTATTAAGAAATATTTAAAATTGAAATTTCAAAGTTGTCCTAGGAAAATTTCCTACGTTTTAATTTCTCTTGAGACATAAAATATATAATTAGTTGTCTAATTTTGGATTATGAATGAAAATCTACTAATACTGATTTAGCTCCGGGTTCTTAATTAAGAACATAGAGACGTTTCCTTCTCCATCAAAATATCTGAGATTCTGCTGAAAGTCTTTTAATAGTTCCTACCAATTTTGTACAAGGTTATAATAACCTTGAACAGAAACTAGATTTTGGAACATCAGATGTGTTTCTTTGGCGGCCTGATGGCAAATCGTCTGGTGCGGGAAGGATTAGATTATGTTGAATTTTGTTCTTGCTTCTCTCAGTCACTACTTTGAGTATTCTGAGGATAAAAGTATTATCTGTCGGATATTTAGAGCTTCACTTCTAAAAATTATTGACAAATCTGAGATATAACGTTGCTAGTTTTTGGTCTTCAAATGACTATTTTCAATCTAGAAAAAAAAGAATCTATGGCAATTAAAATACTCAATCATATAATAATACTTTACAAATGTTAAATGAAATTTAGAAATACGGTTTATGAAACATGAACTGAAACATAGGCATGTATTAACATCATCATATAGTGTGATGAAAGTATGAATAACACCAATAATTTATTCTTTGTTTTTCTTGTAATTCCATTTTTTTGGTAAAGTAGCTCGAATATTTTTCAAAATATTTATTTCATTGATTAATGCAAGAATGGATATTTACAGCTACCAGAAAGATAGTCATCTTCTACATTTTCAGACTAATTTTTGCAATGTCAAATTTAAACATAGATCAGTCACGATAGAAATAGTAGTTCTACTTTTACAGATCTAAAATTGAACTGAAAGGAAGCCAACAAATTTTTGTGCAATAATTGTCATAAATTACAATTGAAGAAAATACACTGCAATTAATCAAAGGAACATCACAATGGGTAACGTACTACTTTTGAAATATATCCGAAAGTTTAGCAGAGTGATCAATTCCAGAGCTGAATACTTATAAGTTTTTCATCAGAAATAAACAGTTATTGATATTAAAATCCTTTCTAAAATTAAATCTGAAGCAATTGAATAACTTTTATCTGATTTAATTTTTCGTGATCTATTCGAATTAAAAATATTTGCGAGAAATATAATGGTCATTAATTTGATAGTAGCAACTTAGCTATATATTCTTAGACATCGTTTCTTTTCAGTGTGTCTGTCTATTTCTACACAAAACATCAAGAGCTATATGTTTCCATGCTTGTTTACCGATATCAAACATAATTACTGTCATACCCCTTCACCTAGCTGGCGTTGACAAGTTTCTGTCATGTGTGTCAAGATGAAAACATGCTCTACGCACGACAAAAAGATTAGCGAATACGTAAATCATCAAACCAATGATGTCAAATCTTGTTTTTTATACTAACCTATTAGATGAGATTCATCTTTTGCACATGTTCATGATCTTGATGTATGTGCAAGTAAGAGAACGAAGAAAATTACTAGCAAGTTGAATTAAAATAAATTTCTTCTTTATTGCTGGTAAGTAATAGCAGGTGAAACACTCAGAATGCAACTGAATTCAAAAGAAAACATGAATGATGATCCTCCTACTCAAGAAAATGCTCCTGTACTACCAATTCCTATATCAATGAGATTTAATATTTTACTTGCAGTTCATGTACCATCGTTTATTTGTTATGTTGTCGTCATTGTTTACATCTTCACTCACAAAACACTTCGTTCAGCACCAAATAATTATACTCTTCTTTTTCTTTTAATTCTTCAATTCTTTGGTAATGCAATTGATATTCCATTGTTACTGAACTTTTTTAAACAAGGCAGAGTACTTTTTGAAAATGCTATCTTTTGCTATATTTGGATATTTCTTGATCATAGTATTTGGTCAATATGCACCATGTTAGTGGCATGGGCGTCATTTGAACGACATATTCTCATTTTTCATGATCGGCTTCTGCGCAGAAAATGGAAAAATATATGTTTACATTATGCACCTCCTTTTATTATTATTATTTATTACATATGTTATTTTCTTTATACTAATATATTTTATCCATGTGAACATTCGTTTGATTTTCAAAGTCCTCTTTGTGGTCATCCATGCTATGTATTTGACAAAATTTTAATGTGGTGGGAAATGCTAGTTCATTTTATACTTATGTCAGTATGTATTACTATATTTAGTGTTTCTCTCTTGATTCGTGTGTTTGCCTCAAAACGCCGTCTCCAGCAATCACTTAGTTGGCGAAAGCACAGTAGAATGGCTTTTCAACTCATTTCGATATCTTTCCTTTGTCTTGTAACACTTTTACCATTTAGTATCGTCAACATACTTTTCTTCGCTGGTTTTCCTGGTTTGCCATTAGAGGCAATAGATTATTGTATTTTTATTACTTATTTCAATTCGATGTGTCTACCATTTGTATATTTGACGTCAATACCAGAAATATGGATCCTATGTAAAAGAACAATACGTCGTGCAACTACCCGACAAATGGCTCCTATGACGCTTGCTAACTAAAAACCCTATTGAACAGGCAATTGAATATCTCCTAAGGTTTGCTTACCGAAAAATAAATAATAAGATTCTATTGTCTTGTTCTTGCACACGCATTTGAAAGTGGTCCACAAAAAAACTAATTAGGTAAGATTATTTCTTTCGAACAATGGAAAAGAATCAGTAATGCTAAAAAAATTAGATGAGGGAGCAAAATTTTGTTTGTGGCAAATGAAAATAGAGAAGATTTATGAATGTGCTCTTGTAAACAAAGCTCAGTAGATAACTAGAAAAAGTGTTGACGGTTACATGTGAATACTAATATCTGTTAAGATATGACTTCGAATTGACCATGATATTGCTTCTACTGTTTTGATATAGGTTGAAAACTTATATACTCTAAACTTGATTCAATCGAGTGCAATAATCATATTGGGAGCAGATTCTATTTTAATGGTTAGACAATTATAAACATTCAAATATTAGCTCAGATTCTTCACGGTTGTTTTCCAAGACAGATGAAAGTGAGCGACCACCCTATATCGGAACCTGTCAATGCATTGCTAAATTAATTTTCGAATACAATTATAGTTATTCGACTGATAATTTAGAAATATCTATGTTGTAATTCGAGGAAAAATTTATGATTTCGATAAAACATTTCTGGCATAATTAACCGATGTGATTTGAAAAGGACAAAAACCAGTGGTAAGCCGATCGGTATAATGTCCGCTATACCGGCTATTTACTTCGAAATTGATGTATCATAGCATATATCATCAAAAAAGATGGATATTTTTGAATTCTGTACAAACTTATAGACTTGAGTCGATTTTGATGCGCACTGATTATGTTGATGTGTCTGAGCCGACTGTACTAGCCTCAAGCTGAAATCGGTACCAATTCTCACATTAATTTTTCATTACAGACAGCGTTGTAAAAAATTTTATTAGTAAAATCTATTCTGAAACTGACGTTTTTCTACATGAATTTGAATTCTCTCTAACAATAAATTCCAATTTGAATAAAAATCACTCTCTGCAATCGTTTATAATTGGAACTGAAAATTGTAACGCTACCGTCGAGTATACTGATATCAGAGCGAATAAACATGCGACTTCAGTGACAATTCCTTCGTGTATGCATATAAAACATCGACAGCGTGCGACCTCACACGAAAATTTTCTTCATTATGTTATTGGCTAGATAATTGTTCTAATCAAACGTTCGATTCGTTCTTTGTGTCAAATAGAAAAAAGCAAACAGTCCAATTGTGAGGAAAAAATATTATCGGAATATTTTTTGATAGACTTCTCGTTTTGAAGTTTTTGGTTTTACAATGTTTGGTAATATCGTTCCGTTAACAACGGTTGGTGCTGCACAAGTATTACCGGGTACTGTTTTACAAACAACTGGTAATGTTTTACCGACAACAACTGTTGGAAATAGTGACTTAGTTATAATTCAAGATACAACAACAGCAACAAGTCAAGCTGAACTAATAAATCAATTACAAAATCATATAACTGAAAATCAACAAATATTAATTATTACAGATGATCAAGGACAAGATCAATGTAAATGAAATTATTCTATTCATCTCAATAAATAACACATATTTGTTTACTTTTATAGATGTTATCATTGATAAAGATCAAGATATAAATGCACTCTTACAAGATGGTAAGTTATTTTATATACATATCAGTTCAAAAATGATGATTTAAATAAGAACGGATAGATGAAATTTCATGAATAAAAACTTACACACTACTACTACTCAACTGATTTGAACTGATTGATGTATTAATATCTACTTTTTATCGTTGTGTATAATATAGATTGAATGAACTTTTAATTTATAGATGATGATAATAGAATTGAAAAGTTTTCAATGTAAACTATTTACCCTTTACTGCGTCATGTTTGCCTCATTCATAGAAACTCCCTATTTGAAGTAATAAAGTATCAAATAAAAAAAATTTCTGAATATTGCGTAGAGTCTTCCTGAAGATAATAAACTTTTCTTATCATTATTTGACTAAAATGTATCAATTGGAAAACGATATTTCCCCAAAAAAGTGAAAAAATCTTTTTTTAAAATTATTTAGCTAAACAGATTAATAAATTCTGATGTTTTATCAGATTGATGTGTAATATTATGGGCATAATCTATTTTCAGTGTCATTTTTTAAAGTTTTCTGATCACAGATGCATTTTTCATGACGATCTGGATCATTTGTGACTCGTTCATAGTTAATAACATGATATTCATGTTAAAAACTTCATTAGAACTAACAGTCAGCGAAAGAGCATTTTACGATTGTTTTTAAATAATTTCCTATAGATAAAAAATAGAAATCTTCAACTATGATTATCACTTTTCATTTTAGCGTGACCTTAACAATAGGAATGGATGATTTCGAATCGAAATCACAACTAATGATTCAATGTTATAAAAACAAAACCAAGACTAATGATTCAGAAAATAAAAGAACTGACTTCAGTTAGAATAGATAAAAAGGAAGAATACGTCTGAACGTAGTGATCTTCCTATTGAACTGATGATTCCAAGGTTTGAACAAAGTACCTCGTGGATACATGTTGAATTACGTAGCTACTCAGTCATAGCGACTCCTAGATTAGATAGGAATATTGGCAGATGAATTCTGATGAGATTTCTATAGTATTCTATGCTTTTTCATTTCAATCAGACTCTTTCCAAAGCGAATATAAAAAATCTCATTGTGGAATTGTTCAATCTAGCTTTCTAATCTTCTGTTTATTTTTATATCAAGTCCATTGAATGCAATTAATAATATAGGATTTTTAAATATATGTTTGCTAATGAATAAAAAAAGGAGATACAATTTAAGTATCTACCTTAAAAAAATTTTCGTCAAGAATGCATAACATTCTTAATAAAAAGCTTTTTTTTATGATAGTCACATGACTAATTTCACAATTGCGAAGACAAATTAATATCTTGTGATTTTTAGGTTCTTTATTCTCTCATTATGCCGAACAACAAGTGGCACAAGTTCCTTCTGGTTTACAACAACAAATATTACAAATAGCTTCAATGCCTACTATTCAAACGACTCATACTCAACCAGTTGTATCAACACCTGTACCTATTCAACCAAAACCAACACCTAAACCTATAGCACCTGCTACAATGAATTCATCAATTGTATCACATAAACAATCATTTCAAAGCAAAGTATGAGGAAGAACATTATTTTTTTAATTCTATTATTTATTTTAGGTCAATACCAATGCATTTCATGTACAAAATGTAGAAGAATCTGTACAACGTGTTACAGCTCCACCACCAAAACGAAAACCAAGTAAAATAAAAGTTTTCTTTTTTCTCTTTAAATTCAATAACAATATATTGTTTGTTTGTTCTTTTTTTCTGCTTGTCTTTCAGTCGAAATTCGTTATGATCCAAAAGAAAATTCATTTCAAAATGCTTTCTTAAAATTTCTTGCCGGAGAAAAAATGCCATCATTAGAAGCTTTAGCTAATGAACCGATAATGCGTAAACCTAAAGATAATGTTTATATTGGTGCCGTCAATGCTGGTATTGTTCTAAGTTCTATTGGCCAACCAACTGGTTCAATGGGTTATCAAACTTATATGGTTAATGATGAATCACGTATTGAAGAAATCATGGTTATTGGTCGACCATTATATGATGATAGTAAAGGTGTTAAAATAAATCCATTATTAAAAAACCTTCCAACAACAACAAATAATCAAACAGCAGCTTTTCTACCACAAACAATAACATTAACACCAAATTCTCAACAACAAAATTCAAATACATTAAGTAGTTTATTTCATAGTCCACAAACATTACCAAATATTTTTAATAATGCTGTAAGAAACATAAAGATTGTTTTCTCTGTACAAGAGAAGTTCTCCCATTGATAAATCGTTTTAGGTGCAGACGATATAGATCCAAAACGAACTATGTATATTTTGAGAAGAATTCCTATCTTTTGATTATTGCTGCATAGATACTACACTTTTATGGTATTTTTTAAAATGAAAGCCATAGTCTAGAAAAATTGAGTTTTCGCTTGTAACTTTGCATTGAAACGGACCTTAACAAGAATAGTTTATTATCAAAGTTCAAGATCTTTTCATTTACTCCTATCCTGAAATAAGAGCATGAAATCTGTCGATATATATGAGCGATGTACAAGACACATTATTACAATAGCTGTATGTTAGGATAGCAATTAGGGATTCATCATTATGTCCCTAATAGGAACAGTAACAAAATCTGAAAACATGCACAAAAATCTATTCCCGTTAATACACACACACATACATACACATACGCTTTTCCAAAGTTTCTGAAGAACGACTCATCTGAAATATTTAATATTTTCAGAGTAGATAGATCTCGATGAGTAGAATGAAAGTTATCATAGACCTCAAATTCTCAAATACTTCTAGGAAGTATTTGGGTCGCAAACGTTAACTATCGCTCTGCTTTCTCAGTCATATTACGTCCGATAGAGCAGGAGTTGTTTTTTTTTTGTTTGCAGATACTAGACACTGTTAGGGATGCTTCCTTTTTATATTCCTTTACTGATGATTTTAGAGGTCCATGACCAATGTTGTCAACACTTTTGGAATGAGAAATAATCATCATCATTAAGAGAAAATCACGGTACAAGTTTTTTTTTGCTCGGAATTTCAAGAGTTGAGTTTAATGAAAAGCCTTCATTTATATAGCACTTGACAAAGACCATGTCGAAGCTATACCAAAATTCAAAAAAAAACTTGATTTTGACATTCATAAAAGCGTCTCCTTAAGATCTATTTCAATACGAAGTTTAAATTCGAAAATCAATTTTTCTGTTATGACGGTATTCATTTAAAAACTATCGTGAAAGTACGGTATCTCTGCAACAATAAGTCAAGGACAGAAACTCTTTTCAAAGTATTCATAGCAGGTTTAGACGTACAGAACATACATAACTGTGACTCAGTAGCGATTTATTAGT